TCTGTCCTCTCCTCCATCTCTGCCCCCCCATCCCCTTTCCCTTCTATCCTCCTGCAGGGCAGGATAGACCTCCGTACCCCACTTCCTGTACCTCTCACTTCCCAGTAGCATGTGAAAACATCTTTTTTAAGCATATATTTTTAAAACTTTAGGTTTCAAATTTTCTCCCTTCCTCCCTCCCCACCCACCCTCATTGAAAAGGCAAGCAACTCAATTTAGGCTATACATGTGCAGTCATGAAAAACACCTCCATAGTAGATATGTTGTGAAAAACCAACTCTTTCCCTTAATCCTATCCCTCCCTCCCATTCATTCTGGGACCCTGTCCCTCCTCAGAAGTATTTGCCTCTGACCACCCCCTTTCCCAATCTGCCCTCCTCTCCACCATCCCCTGGTCTCTTGTCTCGCTCTCCCCCCATTTTCCTGTAGGTCAAGACAGATCTCCATACACAATTGGCTTACCTCCGTAAGCCAGATCCTATGAGAATAAGATTCACTCATTCCCTCTCACCTTCCCCTGTTTCCTCTCCACTGTAAGAGCCTTTTCTTTTCTGTTGTTTTTTTTTGGTGAGATAATTTACCCCATTCTGTCTCTCCCTTTCTTCTCTCCGAGTGTAATCCTGTCTCATCCCTTAATTTTATTCTCCAGATATGACCCCTTAATCTTCAACTCACCCTGTGCCTCTACTATCTATCTATCTATCTATCTATCATCATCATATAATTTTTTTCCTCCAACTACCCTAATACTGACAAAGGTCTCATGAGTTATAAATATCATCTTTCCATGCAGGAATGTAAACAGTTCAACCTTAATAAGTCTCTTATGATTTCTCTTTCCTGTTTACCTCTTCATGTTCCACTTGAGTCTTGTATTTGAAAGTCAAATTTTCTATTCAGCTCTGGTCTTTTCATCAAGAATGCTTGAAAGTCCTCTATTTCACTGAATGACCATTTTTTTCTGAAGGATTATACTCAGTTTTGCTGGGTAGGTGATTCTTGGTTGTAATCCTATCTCCTTTGCCCTCCAGAATATTATATTCCATGCCCTGCGGTCCTTTAATGTAGAAGCTGCTAAATCTTGTGTTATCCTGATTGTGTTTCCACAGTACTTGAATTGTTTCTTCTGGCAGCTTGTAATATTTTCTCCTTGACCTGGGAACTCTGGAATTTGGCTACAATATTCCTAGGAGTTTTCCTTTGGGGATCTCTTTCAGGAGGAGATTGGTGGATTCTTTCCATTTCTATTTTGCCCTCTGGTTCTAATATATCAGGGCAGTTTTCCTTGATAATTTCTTGAAAGATGATGTCTAGGCTCTTTTTTTGATCATGGCTTTCAGATAGTCCAATAATTTTAAATTCTCTCTCCTGGATCTATTTTCCAGGTCAGTTGTTTTTCCAATGAGATATTTCACATTGTTTTTAATTTTTCATTCTTTTGGATTTGTTTTACAGTGTCTTGATTTCTCATAAAGTCACTAGCTTCCAATTGCTCTATTCTAATTTTTAAGGAAGTATTTTCTTCAGTAATCTTTTGGACTTCCTTTTCCATTTGGCCAATTTTTCTTTTTAGGGCATTCTTCTCCTCATTGGCTTTTTGGACCTCTTTTGCCATTTGGGTTAGGCTTTTTTTAAGGTGTTATTTTCTTCAGTATTTTTTGGGTCTCCTTTAGCAAGCTGTTGACTTGTTTTTCATGATTTTCTTGCATCACTCTCATTTCTCTTCCCAGTTTTTCCTCTCCTTCTCTTACTTGCTTCTCAAAATCCCTTTTGAGCTCTTCCAAGTCCTGGGACTGATTCATATTTTTCTTGGAGGCTTTGGATGTAGGAGCTTTGACTTTGTGGTCTTCTTCTGGTTTCATATTTTGATCTTCTTTGTTACCAAAGTAAGATAATATAGTCTGACTCTTTTTGCGCTGCTTGCTCATGATCCTGGCCAATTACTTGAGTTTTAAACTCTATGTTAAGGTAAGAGTCTGCTTCCAATGTGGAGAATGTACCGTCCCAGGCTTCGGGGTTTGTACAGCTGTTTTCAGAGATACTTGTAGGGACCTGTAAATTTTCAGTTCTTCCAAGGTGGTATGATAAGGGGCGAGGTGTTTACTCCTTTCCTGGCCTGAAGTACTCCTTTCTGTCCTGTAACTGTGAGGAAGGGTTCCTCTCCACAGACACTCCAAGCTCTACCACACCAGCGTTCCTCCTCACTCCAGCACTGCCGCCCAGATCCAAACAGGGGCAAAGCAAAAGATTCCTGCCTCAGCACTGGCAAAGAGATCCCTACAGTCCCTCTCTGATCAGCGACTGGATTCCCCCTCAGTCTGTGGGCTGGAAGCTCAGGAGGCAGCCGTAGCCCCTGGGCCACGCTCTTGGGCAACTGGAGCTGCGCCCCCCCCCCCCCCCCGGGCATTACAGAAACAGATTTTTGCCACTGACCTTCTAAGTTCCAATTGTGGATTGAGGAGTCTGCAAACCTCCACAGCTGCCTGCGATTCAGTCTTCTATTTTTTTTTTAGTCTTTCCATTTTGTTTTAGTATTTCTTGTTGTCTCATGTCATTGATTTCTATTTGGTACATCCTAATTTTCTTGGCTAAGTCTTTGCATGTAGTCTACTAAACTGTTTATTCTTCCTCCAATTCTTTCCTCTAGAGTTCACATTTAATTTCCAGTTTTTTTCCTTTTAGAATTCTCATCTAATCTATAATTATTTTTAAACTCTTGATTAATTTCTTCCAGAATTCCAGTAGACTTTGTTGTAAAGCTGTAACAAATGTTTTAGTTTATTTTTTGATTATGAAGAAAGTATTTGATGGGGCAAGGCAGCTGATGAGAAGATGGCCAGGGATTAATGTGAGACAGGTTTGGAGTTAGTCTGGACTGACATTGAGTCTCCTGAAGTCCTGACAACTCTACCCCTTCTACCCAAGCTTCTCTGAACCAGAGTTTAGGAAATGAAAGTTTTTTTGTCCTCAAGGGTAGGGGTCAGCAAACTATGGCCCAAAGGTCAAATCTGTCCTGTAGGCTGTTTTTATATGACCAGTTTTTATATCGTGTTTTGTACAGTGAAATTTTATTTAAAAATGTAAAAACCATTCTTACCTCTCAGGCTGTACGTATAAAAACTAGTGGTGGGATGGATGTGTCTACTCACTCAAGAGCTGAGTTTTCTAACCCTTGCTCTGTCTGGTGCATAGTCTCTGGTCCTGCTACCTGGTGAGGAGATGATTAAGGATGAGCCTGGTGGCATTCCCATACTAGCTCCTTATGGATGAGAGGCTAGGGGCATGCCCCATACACCTAAGGTTTTGGCTTAGATGACTGCTGCTGGGGAGTCCAAGAAGTAGATTATAGAACTTGACCAATGAAGGATTTGCAGAGTTTACATGTGACCTGTCCCATTGGTTGCTGAAGATCCATTCCCTGAGCCGTCATCGTGTGAATTTCTGTAACCCTCTAAGAACTAAGAAGGGATATTTGAGAAAGTGCTGATTTTAAAGTAACATGAGGCTATGACAGAGGGGTCATCGGAGCCTACCCCTTAAAGCAGGATTATATACAGACCTTCTTAACTTTGCTCTAGGATCATCCTCAGGCAAGGAGTTGTCTCCCTGCTCTGTTTGTGTCCTACTCAGAGTTAGGTTTCTGTCTCTGGACTCCTTTTCTTGGATCTCTCAGTTGCCTGGATTCTTGGCTTTAGTGACTTGTAGCCCTCTTAGACATTGGTCCTTCTGAAACACCAGGACTTATGATCTGCCTTATACCCTTGAGCCCCCATCTGAGTGATAGCAAGATTGTTTTGCCCCCTCTCCCTTCTCCTGTCCATGAATAAGGCAGTAATAAAAATTGGTTTTGGGTTTTTAAAAACAGGCAAATTTGGTCAAAACAAGTGCTGGTTTTAGTACTTTCTCTGTAATTGCACCCACAGGCCTGATAGGATCTGTCTCTGTGTGTGCTGTTTGCTTGATTTGGAAAATGAGAAGAATTGCAGAATTTAAGAGCTGGAAGAATTGCAGAATTTAAGAGCTGGAAGGGACTCCAGAAGTCATTGATTATAACACACACCTGAAAGACAATCTTTTCCTGTCACCTGCCTCTAGTCAGCTGCCTCAGTGGTTGGGGCCTGGGTTTAGATTGGGCCTCAGACACTTAACTAGCTGTATGACCCTGGGCAAGTCACTTTGCCTCTGTTTGCCTCAGTTTCCTCATCCGTATAATGGGGGAAAGTAATAGCACCTACCTCCCAGGGTTGTTGTGAGGATCAGATGAAATAATGATTGTAAAGTGCTTAGCACAGTGCCTGGCACATAGCAGGTACTGCATCAATGCTTGTTCCCATCCTCCCTGTCTAGGACCCCCCTTAACAAACAATCCTGCAGCCTCCCCCCACCCTGTTTGAGGATTGCCCCCATCTCCTGACAGCCCATGCCACATTTGGACAGCTCTAAAGGCTATGGGGATTTGCCTCTTTGACTTATGCTCTTTAGATTTAGTCCTACTTACATGTGGCAACCGTTTAAGTACTTGAAGATGCCCACATGCTTCTTAAGTCTTTTCTTTTACACATTGGATATACTAAGTTTGTTCATCTGGTCTTTGGTGCTGAAAATCCTGCAGTCTTGCCCCTGTCCTGGCCACTCTCTTCTCTGGTAATCTCCCAGAGCCACCCTCTTGTTATCCTCCTCTCTCTCTTCTCTGTCTTTAATGTCTCCCTCTCCGGGAGTTCCTTCCCATTCACCTAGAAATATAGGATCATAGATTGAGAGCTGAAGGGCCTGTGAGGAGTTTCAGACCACATCATGAAAATAATTTGGCAATCTTACTGGGATGGCTGAACCCAAGTGCTGTTAATTAGGGTGATTAGAGTCTGAACAAGTAGTGGGCCGTCCTCTTCCTCTTTGTAAACAAAAGTTTTGATTGTGTTATTTGAATGGTTTTTGTTGCCTGAGTAGGCATGTAAAGTACATCTAAAAATTTAAACAGAAATGCTTTTTTCTTTTTTCAGTGATGCCATCTGTAATTTTGTCATCTGCAATGATGCTTCTCTCCGAGGACAGCCAATCATCTTTAACCCTGACTTCTTTGTGGAGAAGCTCCGACATGAAAAGCCCGATGTTTTCACTGAGCTAGTGGTTAGCAATATCACCAGACTTATTGACCTGCCGGGGACAGAATTGGCTCAGTTGATGGGGGAGGTGGACCTGAAGTTACCCAGCGGGGCTGGCACTGCATCAGGGTTCTTCAGATCACTCATGTCTCTCAAACGCAAAGGTGGGAAATGGATTTATTAAGGACATTCGGGATACTGCATTTCCCCTAACGTTCTCATCAGTAGTGATTCCCTCTTGATTTTATATTGAAGAGATGTGCAATCCCAAATGAGGAGTATGAGTCTATGCATGGGATTTTTGTGTAGTCTTTTCACTATTATAAATAATAAAATCACAATGGGAAGTGTGGTGAGAGAGCCAGGCTAGGAGTAAGAAGATTCGAGTTCAAGTCCTTGCTCTGACCCATCCTGGCTGTGTGTTCCTGGGGAAGTCACTTAACCTCTCTGCCCCCAGGACACATTCTAAGACTACATATATGTTTCAGATAGTTGCTTGTCTGCATTAGAAGGAATTTCCTTACTGGGAGTGCCTAACACCATTAAAATCTCAGGTCAGGACCCCCCTAAAATTGTAATATAATATAGTCATAAAATTATAAATATAGTCCAAGTAAATAGAACTATTAAGCTGAAGTAAATATACCTAAACCTTAAAAAATAAAAAAGATTTTCTTAGAGTCTTACAAGTATGGTAAAGTGGAAAGTCAGTTAACTAGCATTTATTAAATACCTGCTATGTGCCAGGTATTGTGCTGAGTGCCAGGGATACAGAGAAAAGCAAAAGACCATTCCTGCTGTCAGGGAGCTTCCAGTCTAATGGGGAAGACAACATGGAGATGGTGGACAAATGAGGTACATGTAGGGCAACTTGGGAGTAGTCTCAGAGGGAAGATTAAGGAGGACAGGGAAAGGCTTTTTGCAGAAGGTGAACTTTAGCTGAGACTTGAAGAAAGCTGGGGAAACTAAGGGCTGGAGATGAGGAGGGGCCCAGCCAGTGTGAGTGCCTGTGGTTGGAGATGGATCACCAGGTACTCTTGGGGAGTAAGGTATAAGAAGACTGGAGAGTTAGGAAGGGGTAGGGGAAGAGGGGCTGTGAAAGCCAAACAGGGTTTTATGTTTGATCCTGGAATTAATAGGGAACCACTGGAGTTGGTTGAATTGGATGTGTGTGTGTGTGTGTGGTGTGTGTGTGTGTGTGTGAGAGAGAGAGAGAGAGAGAGAGAGAGAGAGAGAGAGAGAGAGAGAGAGAGAGAGAGAGATGATCAGAGCTGGGTTTTAGGAGGATCTCTTTGCCAGCCAAAGGGAGGAAGCACTGGAGTGGGGAGAGTCCTGAAGTAGGCAGACCCTCCAAGTAGCTATTGCAGTGGTCCAGGCATAAGGTGATTTAGGGGCCTGGCAGTGTCAGAGGAGAGAAGGCAGGGGTGGGGGTGGGGGGAGGAAAGGAGGGAGAGGGTGGGAGAGAGTGTCCTATATGATATATGACCAAGGTAGAAACACCAGAACTTGACAGCTGATTGCATGTGGGGAGTAAGAGAGCCTGGGTAACTGGGAGGGTGGTGGTGCTCTTAACAGTAATAGGGAAGTGAGGAAGAGTGGGGAATTTTAGGGAAAAGATGAAGTCTGTTGTGGACGTGTTGAGCTTTGGATTTGGAGTCACGAGACCCAGGTTTGATTTCCAGCAATGCTATGATACCTCTGTAATCTTGGGCAAAGCCCTTTGCCTTTGGGACTCTCAGTTTCTGCATATATACAATGAGGAAGTTGAAGTAGGTCACCTCTAAGGTATCTTCCAGCTCTAAACTGATGAGGCTTTGAGGGGAGGTGTCAGCTGGTTGGTAGTCCTTCTTTCATATTGCATTAATATGGAAATCCAGTTTTGGTTTATGTAAAAAAACAACCAAATGATACATTGAGAAGACATGGATAGAATGAAGAAAACAGGAAGTTCACTCTTCTAGGGCAGTGGTCCTCAAACCTTTTCATTCGATGGACTACTTGACTAGAGCCGTTACGCATGGATCCCTTACCTGTTTGTGTTGGCCGTGACTCAGAACACTTCCCCCAAAGAAATGGATGAGTGACTCTGTTTTTGATGAGATATTAATGAGATCACGTCTGTTTTTTGTTAAGGATAGTAAATTATTTATGTGAGAAGGTATCAACATTTTGATATCATAACCATCAGTACAATGAAGTTAGTGCAAAGACTATCTTAACTAGCTGGATACACTTGTGGATAACTCCTTGAGAGCCGCTGCTCTGATGTTCTGTTGTACTTAAGTGCCTACTGCATACAATGCAATATTATGCCAGACATTCTACAGAATTAAGCAGAAAGATTTTTTTTACCCTCAGGAAGCCTGTGGTCTAATACTAAACATTGGAGAGAAAAAATAAATTAAGGGCTCTTTAATATTACCTGTGGCATTGCTTAGTATTATTTAGTACAGCACATTAACCTTGCAGTGAGCTTGTAAATTAACATTAATTTATTTACCCTGTGAAACCATTTTATAGCTCAGTAAAACACATAACCATGTTCTGTTTATTTAGGATGCCACAAGGCTTTAAGTAAGATGATTCTGTACTGTATGTGAAAACTTGTTCACAGCCTTGCTTTATGGTTTTCTAGAAAAAGGAGTTGTGTTTGGATCACCATTGACAGAAGAAGGCATCGCTCAAATATATCAACTGATTGAATATCTACACAAAAGTAAGTCTGTCTCCAATTTTTCTGTCCTTTAAAAAAATTTTATTTTATTATTTTATCTTAATTTATCAACAATAACTTCCATAAGCTTTTGAATTTTAAATTTTTCTCCCCCTCCCTCCCTAAATCCTTCCCCAAGATGGTACGTAATCTAATATAGGCTATACATATACATTCCTATTAAACATTTTCACATTAGTGATGTAAGTAAGAATTAGAACTAATAGGAGGAACCACCAGAAAGAGGAAACAAAAACACAATAGAAGAAAAAACTAGCAAATAGTATGCTTTGATCTGCATTCAAACTCCATAGTTCTTTCTTTGGATATAAGTAGCATTTTCCATCATGAGGCTTTTGGAGATGTCTTAGATCCTTGTATTGCTGAGAGGGGTTAAGTCTATCAAAGTCAGTCATCACTCAGTGTGGCTGTTACTGTGTACAACATTCTCCTGGTTCTGCTCACTTCACTCAGCATCAAACTATACAAGTCTTTCCAGGTTTATCTGAAGTCAGCCTGTTCATCATTTCTTACAGCACAATAGTATTCATTACATTCATATATCACATTCACAATTATGGTTACCATCTGTGTCTTTCTCTCCATCCTTCTCTCCCCCACCCCCCCGTTTATGTTTTTCTTTCTCCTTTCTCCTTTTCCCTCCTCACTAATGTTTTGCTTTTGACCACCACCACCTCCCTTAGTCCCACCTCCCTTCTATTAGCCCCCTCCATTTTCTTTCCCCTTTTTCTTCCTACTGCCTATAGGGCATGTTAGATTTCTGTGCCTAACTGATTATGTTATTCCTTTCTTGAGCCAAATCTGATGAGGGTAAGATTCAAACAATGCTCATCTCCCTCCCTTCTTTCCCTCTGCTGTAATAGGTTTTTGTGTCTTTTCCTGTGATGTAATTTACCCTTATCTAACTCCTCCTTTCCTTTTCTCTCAGTACATGTTCTTAGATCAGATTAATTCACTTACTTGGATCCATTTAACCCACTTGATTAGATTTTTTTCATCATTACGTTGAAGTCAACTTATACCCACCCCCTTTATGTATCCCCCTTTAACATGGTGTAATAACAATACAGTTCTCAAGAGTTACAAGTTTCATCTTCCCTTGTAGGGATGTAAACAGTTTGCCCTTATTAATAACATGTTGTTTCTTTCTGTCCCATTTATCTTTTTACGTCTCTCTTGAGTCTTGTATTTGAAGATGAAATTTTCTGTTGAGCTCTGGTCTTTTTATCAGAAGGTATGGAAGGCCCTTGTTTCATTGAATATCCATCTCCTCCCCTGAAAGATCATGCTTATTTTCGCTGGGTTGTCCTTTTCATTATTAGAATGTGTGGTTTTTTGCTGATAGATGAGCTACTCCATGGCAAGAAAGTAGCTTCCCATACTTAATTTGGGTTCCAAGCTCTGTGACACGTTTATGTATTTAATACAGTTCATGTATAGTTTGACTTTGCTTTATGCATTAGATGTATTCTTGACAAGTTGTATGTAAAAAAAGTTTACATCATATGTCAAATTACATTTTCTTATTACCTTGAGAAAGATTCTTGCTGAAAAAATACTGTCTCTGATGCATCATAAAAATCACACTAAATGGAACCTTTTGCCTTATGTGCAGTCTGTATAATCTACTCCTCCCACATAATAATCAAATTGATTCTCAGAAGCCCAGAAGAAACCCTGGACTCTAGGAATCAAAGAGGTCTGTATTTCAGTTTTGGTTCTGCTACTGATGGCCAGCTGACCATGGGAGAAATCGCCAACCTCTGTGGGCCTTGGTGTGCTCATCTCCAAAGTGAGGACGACATTAGGCCAGATGATCTCTCAGGCTCTTCCCACTTCCAACATGCTCTGACTAAAGGAGATCACATAGTTAATTTGTCTTTGTTTGGGCAGAGTAGTTATGTTTATCCAAGTTTTTATTAAATTCAATCAATAAATTTATTAAGTATTACCTTGTGCCTTGGCACTGTGTATCCTTAGTGGAAAGAAACAAATGGGAATACTTTTTGAAATAGGAATCCTATCTCTGTGCAGAGAAAGCAAGATGTGTGTGTGTGTGTGTGTATGGATGTATATGTATATTTTGTTGAATTGAATTGAAATAGAGTCTAGAAGATGTAAGTAGTTCCATGATACTATTTTAAGGGTGTCTTTGTTTCTTTAATGGATTCACCTCTGCTATAAATACATATTTATTCACCTAATGACCATTTAATAAGTTCTTATTACTTGGTAAAACCCATTTTTGTTGTTGTTCATTCGTTTCAGTTGTATCTGATCCTTCATGACCCCATTTAGGGTTTTCTTGGCAAAGATACTGGAGTGGTTTGTCATATCCTTCTCTAGCTCATTTTACATATGAGGAAACTGAGGCCAGACTTGCCCAGGGTGAAGTGACTTGCCCAGGGTCACACAGCTAGTAAATATTTGAGGCTGGATTTGAACTCAGGAAGATGAGCCTGACTGTTGGCCTGGTGCTGTATCCACTGTGCCCCTTAGCTGCCCCAGAAGAACCAATAGGGCTCCTTAAAAAATTTTTCTGTTTCCTTCTGACAAATGCTATGCTTTCATGAACTGCAGGCTAAGTGGCTAGAGAGTTTTCTTGATTATGCACTTAACCCAACTAGAAGTCAGTCGGTCAGTCAGCCAGGCAATGCACATTATTAAGCACTTTACTGTGTCCCAGGTATTAAGATTGATGCTGAAAGAAAGGCAAAACAGAAGTGATATAATAAGCTGACAGTCTGGAGCCAGGTTTAGTGAAGTAGATCTGTGTTTGCCAGTGTTGGGTTGGACCCCATCAGTGAGCAACAGAGAATAACATTTTCTCTAAAGTAATCACTTTTTTGTTGATGCCAGTAGCATACAGTGGTGAGATGTATTTATGTTGATGGGTATCATACCTACATCCTCAGGTGAATTTAAAGAACATTGGAGATAGAATAAAATACCTGAGAGTATACCTTCCAAAACACACAGAAAACTATGTGAGCATAAACATAAAACACTTTGTATACAAATAAAGTGAGATCTAAATAATTGAAGTAATATTTGTTGTTCATGGGTAGGTAAAACCAATATAAAAAAAATGACAGTTTTACTTAACTAATTTATTCAATGCCATCCTAATTAAATTCCTAAAAATTATCTTACTGAGTTAGAAAAAAATAACAAAGTTCATTTGGAAGAATAAAAGGTCAGGAACTTCAAAGAAACCAGGGGAAAAAAAAGATATAAAGGAAGCAGATTCAACAGTATCAGATCTTAAACTATATTATAAGGTGAGAGCATTGTTGAAGTATAAAATGGATAATTTTGATTATTTTAAATTAAAATTTTCTTGTATAAATAAAACCTATATAGCCAGGAATAGAAGGAATGCAGAAAATTGGGAAAAAGCTGTCATAGACAACCTCTCAGATAGAATGTGTTTGGGTTGGAATAGTGCTGTGGTATAGGAAATGATGAGCTGGTTGATTTAGAAAAACGTGGAAAGACTTGGACTTATAAAGGAACGTGCTATCTACCTTCAGAGAAACAGATGACAAGTGGAAATAAGCATAGTAGGGCCGTACATGTATGTGTGTAACTGTGTGTCTGTGTTTATAGATATCTGTAGATGTTATGTATATATCTGCACTTAATTGTAGCCACTTTTAGGGCAGCGGAAAGGAGGAGAGAGGGGAAAAAATAAAGTAAAAAGTGCACAGTAGAGAACAAGAGAAAACCTACAAGGAGGCAAAGAAAAGCTGGACAGCTTTGAAAACAATGTGTAGTGTTTATTATCTATCTGTTTTCTTGACATGGAAATTTATTGTTTTATATAGAATCCTCTCCCGTGTTCTGCTGTGCACATGGCAATGTTTATTACTTTTCTCATTTTGTATTTAAGTTTAAAATAAAAAAAATTTACAAAAAACAAAAAAATTAAATAAAGACTCTTAGAGCTTTTGGTGGAGCCATCCTGGAGACCTGCCTGCCAGGGTTGTTGAGAGGATCAAAGGAGATAACACATGTAAAGTGCTTTGCAAACTTGTGAAGCACTAGGTGGACTCTAGGGCACCTATCTAGTCAGGTTGGTCAGGTCTGGATGGATTATGATGATCATTGTGGGCCCTTTCAGATCTACGAAAACTTTCTTTTCCAAGGTCAAACTAGAGCTTTCCTTTCTCCAGAATTACTTAAAATCCATCTGGTAATATAGCCTAGATTGAGCTATCTTCAGAGTGAGAGCAGGGACTTGTCTGGAAGAGTCCCATGGGCTTAAGGTGATATTGACTGGGAACTATAAAGAATCATGTGCATCTAAGTTCTTTTATTATTATTGTGGCATCAATATCATTATCACTATAAAGGCTGGGGAAAAGCCCCCAGACTATCTTGATGGTACATATTAGGTTCCCAGTCTTTGTCTCTTTTACTCTTTCATGGGTTTCCTCAATCCTGAGAAGATTTGCGAGTAGAGGGTTTGTTTAGAGTTCCGGGAAACAGTGTCCGACAACAAATTCTAAGGGATGCTCTTAACAACGGTGCTGATGTTGACTTGGAGTCTGGGGAGTTTCACTCAAATGACGTGGCCTCTCTGCTGAAGATGTTCCTGGGGGAGTTACCGGAGCCCCTTCTGACCCATAGACATTTCCACGCACACCTGAAGATTGCAGGTGAGTCAAAGTACTAAGAAGAAGATGCAAAGAGCACTTTTTAAGCTCAGTAAATGCTTTCGGAGCTTGTGTTACTTTAAACCACAGTAGCATTGCCACTGGTCTTCATGGCATTAGACACATCCATTCACATTCACAGGATGATAAAATGTTAGTGTTCATTCTCACTCTATAGTAAAGAGTACAATAGTTCTTGACCTTGACCTATCAGTCTTATGCATGAGCTGATCCAGCCTTCCTGGCTGGGGTAGGCTGGACCTGAAACCAGTCAGTAGAAGATAGTGAAAAGCTGGAAAATTATAAGAGAAAAATGGAAGTGGTTTTTTTTTTTTGGCTTTTGTTGGGCTCACTTATCCACTGGGGAATATCTTCACACTGTATGGCTTTATACAGTGATGTCAGATCAGAGGGACAGATGGATGGATGTGGCATTTTTCTGCTATCTGGAAATAGATTTTTGTTTTTATTTTTATTCCAATATAATAACAGGAGAGAAAGGACATTAGGAAAATAGATCATGTTGATTTATACAATATTTCCAAAGCAAAGCAAGAGTCTTTGCCTTAAAATAGCTGTCTCCCTTTCGTGAAACAAGCAGCTTGATATTAAAAGAACATGTAGACACCCAAATCAGTAAAGCGGCTTGCAGGTCTTTTTTTATACCTTATGAACAAGATGAAATGGTGACCGTGTTCATTTATTGTATTTCACTGCACGCTTTGAATTTTGCTTGTTGTGAGTCTGGTCTGTGGAGTGGCTGAAATAGACTCTTCTGCCTGATTTTTTCCTCTCCTCTGAACTACTGTCCTTTGGCCTCCAAGATCTCATGCAGTTTGACGATAAAGGAAACAAGACCAGCATCCCGGATAAAGAGCGCCAGATTGAAGCCCTACAATTGCTCTTCCTGATTCTTCCACCGCCCAATCGTAATTTGCTGAAGCTGCTGCTTGACCTTCTCTACCAGACAGCGAAGAAGCAAGACAAGAACAAGATGTCAGCCCACAACCTTGCCCTGATGTTTGCTCCTCACATCCTGTGGCCAAAAAATGTAAGTATCAAGTAGCCTGATACTGTGATGTACGGTTTTCGTTCGGGCCTCATGAGTTATCTCAGTACTTTGTATCTTCTCTTCAAGGTTGCAGAGTCAAAATCAGTTTTTGTCAGTTCTCCTACTGTGATGTGATACTGCCGTATTTCTTTCCATCCATATGGAGTAGTGTTATGTAGTGGAAAGGGCTCTGGACCTCTAGGGAGCTTGCCATTAACCCTTGGCCCTATCACGAGACAGATGACTAATGTTGGTCAAGGCACTTACTGGCCCTCCCCTGGGACTTGATACTTCCTCATATGTAAAATAGGGATAAAAGTACTTATCTTGCCTGTCTTGAAGAGGTGTGTGAGGACTGATGGAGACACTGAAGGAATTAAGAAATTCTAAGAAATGGGAATCTCACAGCAAAGCAGAGAGTTTACGTAGTCAGTTTCAGGTTTCTCAAATAGTAACTTTATTTTTTGTTGTTTAGTTGTTTCAGTTGTGTCAGATTCTTTGTGACCCCGTTTTTTTGTGTGTTTGTTTGTTTGTTTTGGGGGTAGTGCAGCTGAACGATAGAGTGAGTAGAGTTCTGGGCCTGTAGTAAGGAAGACTCATTTTCCAGAGTTCAAATCTGGCCCCAGTCACTTACTAGCTGTGTGACCCTGAGCAAGTCACTTAATCCTGTTTGCCTCAGTTTCCTCATCTGTAAAATGAATTGCAGAAGAAAATGGTAAACCACTCCAGTATCTTTGCCAAGAAAACCCCAAATGGGATCATAGAGCGTTGGACATGACTGAAAACAAGTGAACAACAAACTTTAATTTTTATTAAAATTTTTTTGTTTTTAATTTTTTTATTCCAAACTTAACCAGTAACAAAACAAACATTCTGATAAGCAAACAAAATAAAACTTATACATAAAATAATAAACTCAAAATAAAAAATCAACTTTAATAGTAAATATATGCTTTTTTGTTTCTTTGTCTCCTCCTGACTTTTTTTTCTGTGTATTTTCCCCTGGATTTTGTTATTGTTGCTGTCAACATATTGTCATCATCATCATCATCATCATCATCATCATCATCATCATCATCTACTTAGTTGTTGTAATAATGTGCTTCTGTTTTCTTCATCCTGCATCATTCTGCGTCCTGTATTTCTTTACTTTTTTTGTATTCATGTTTGTTATTTCTTAAGATGCAAAAATACTCCATTCCATTCGTATTAGTTTGTTTAACCATTCCCTAATCTTTAGATATATGGATTGTTTCTGTGTTTTTGCTATTTTTTTAAAGCTGCTCTGAGTAATTTTATACAGAGAAGTATTTTTTCCCTATTTCAGTAAGACCATTATGAGTTCCTAGTAGTGAGTGAGATCATGAAGCCAAAGGGTGTGAACAATTTTACAGCTTTTATTATTCACTGTCATATTTTTTCCAAAAAGATTACATTATTTCACACTTCTGCTGGCAGTGTAATGGTTTGTTTCTTCATAGCTCCTACTAGCATTGACATTTATGTTTTTAAACTTTATCACAAGTTGTACTTCAGAACTTTTCATTTATATTTCTCTGATTATTAGAGAGTGAAAAATTTTCAGGTGGCTGATGTGGAATATTTTGTGTAACAAATGGTTTGTGGAAGCTAATGTGATGTTCTGGGGGTAAGAGACAGGTGTGCTGGGGAAGAGGAAACACAATATCGCCTGGTCTACAGTTGTGCCCTATTGAAAGACTTTTGGAGATAACTTCACTAAGATTATGGGAAGGAAAGAGTAAGTGGGTCTTGGCCAAGGAGAGGGTTAAAAGGAAAGAGCCAGGAAAGGAATCCGAGTTATATAATGTTGGGCACAAAGGAAAAAGAAAAAGGTGAGTTTGTTCTATTTGTAGGAAACTAAAATGGTACTTTGTTACTAGGTAAAAGGAGGGCTCAACTTTATCTTTCTTGAAATGTCAGGTTTTCTGAAGGTAGTAATAGCTAACATTTATGTAGTGTTTACTATGTGCCAAGTACTGTGCTAGGCACTTTACAATCATTATCTTGTTTTATCCTTATGACAACCCTGGAAGAGGTATTATTGTTATCATTATTCTCATTTTACGGATGAGGAAACTGAGACAAACAGGTGAAATGACTTGCTCAGGCTTGCACAGCTAGTGAGTATGTGAGGCTGGACTGGAACTCAGGTTGTCTAACTCTCCCGGCCTGCGGCTCTGTGCATTATGCTAGGCTCATATAGATTTCCTCCTTCTTGCTTGGTTGAGTCTTAAATTATATCCCTTTTAATAGTGTTGTTTTCTTGCTTCTTGAACAGGATAAAAAAACTGTAGAATTAATTTCACATGGATTTCTGAGTAATTTCAGGGGTCAAGATCACTTGATTCCTCCTTGATAAGTTCGTGTCCTGTGGAAAACTTCAAGATCAAAAATTTTTTTTTTCTAGGAGGAAGGGCTCTTTCAACATGCTAGCCCTATCATAATAGCTACTATGGACAACACGTTTTTTGGAGAAAAGAGTTCATGTGTAAATAAATGAGGTTTTTTCTCTGTCCTCTATCCAGTGTCTTATTACTTTGCATTTATTTTCTTCTTTGAACAGGTCACTGCAAATGACCTTCAGGAGAATATCACAAAACTGAATAATGGGATGACTTTTATGATTAAACATTCTCAGAAACTTTTTAAGGTAGGTATTATCCTAGGACTTAGGCAGCAGTAAAATTAGTGCCAGTAGGGAGGGAATTTAGCTAGGCAGGATCAGAGCTGAGAGTTACCATAAGTTTGATGGAACAGCCAAGTTGGGGATAAAACAGAGGTAACATTTGATCTGTAAAGGCAGGGGTAAAAGAGTCCATTAAGGTCAGTCAGGTGGAATTGGTGACCCCAGATCAAAGACTTGGAAACAAAGGGTTGGGAATCCAGGGAGAAATTCTGGCAAAAAGTCTGAATAGCAAGAGGTCCAGATCTTGGCAAGGGTGTCTGTAAGGGACACAAGCTGGTGTTTGATCCTGCTTCTGCAGCTCTGTGAACCAGGGGCCTCCTCGTGTCCTGCTATCTCAGGCCCTGGAGTGAGGTCGGGCTGAGTCTGCAGTTGGAATCCATAGGATTATCGAATTAGAATGGAGGAGGAAGGTGCTGCTAACATGAAAGAACAGGCTCCTCCTGGAGAGGCATCTCTCCCACTGATTCCCCCTTGCCAATGAGACTTCCTCCCTGTTTCGACTGTAGCTGAGCACGTGCAGTTAGCTCCAGAGCCCTGCAAGTTAACTACTGTGCAGGGGCCTCAACATACAAGATGTACAGGGCCATTAAGACCTCGTGAGATTCAACTGGTGCCGATTTAAAGGGCCAGAGAGCTGAGTTCTTTCCTTTAGACCCCATCCATTAGCAAGCACTCATTAAGTGGCTGCTCTGTGAATGGAGGCCCTCAGGGAGCTTATGTTTTATAGGGAGGATCACTCAGCAGTTTCCTTGACTCTGCCTCTTAGGGTTTACAGGCATCCTTTTCATTTTGGCTGGGGTGGAGGTGGGGAGTAAACTCCCTGAGGGAAGGGGTGAGGATTACTTTTATCTTTGTCCCCAGTGCCTGGCACATAGAAGGTGCTTTATAAATGCTTGTTGGGCAATTGGTGTCCTCTTAGGTGCTGTCCTGTTTTTGGTCACTAAATCCTTTATTCATTTTCCTAAGCTGAGATAGCTAGCCCCCTCCAGAAACATCCTGGATTTTATTACTTCCAGCTCTGTTCTTCCCTCCCTCCCACCCTTTGCCCTTGAGGCTTTTTTGTCATACTTTTATTTTATTTCAGAACAACAGAATTTTTAGAGTTGGAAAAGATACCTTAGATCACAACTAGTTCAGAGATATCAAACAAAACCAGTGAGTGCAGCCCAATCTGGAATAAAATGTCAATGGGAAATGTTGAAGAAAATAACTAAAAACAGTGTTTTCTAAGTCCCTGTGGGACCTGCAGGGATCCTTTTCTACTTGAGTTTGACACCACTGCTCTAGTCCAGCTTCTTCATTTTATGGAGGAAAATACTAAGCCCCGTGGGTTATGAAGTGGTAGAGTCCAGACGAGGACCTTGTTTTCTGTTCCTCCTGTGCTTAGCTGCTCCCTTCCCCACCAGCTCCTGGTTTCTTTCTGTGTTCTATGCAGGCTCCTGCTTATGTTCGGGAATGTGCCAGGCTGCATTATCTGGGCTCTAGGACTCATGCATCAAAGGTGAGCGTTGGGAATTGCTCTTGCTGAAACACAGGAAGTGAGGACCAAGCAAAGAAACAGCCCTACAGCTAAGCCTTCATCATAATGAACACTGTACAAAGTAAAGCGAGGGAGAGCGAAAGCCAGCACATGACTCAAACAGAGGGGAGGCAGAAGAACGTATAGCTTCAGACTGCTCTGTCACAGCTCAAAAAGTCACCAGTCACTTTGAGATTAGTGAAAGAGCAGCTAGGAAGGAGAGCATGGTGATGGTTGGTATGGAAATGATGGGGCCTCTGTCCATCTTTGTCTTCCTCTGCCCCAAGAATTTTCTGCTGATACAGTATAGGAATGGTTGAAAAGATCCACAGTCTACAAGGCCTCAGAAGGTCTTCATTACACCCTTGAGTATTTTAAATGTTCAAAATTGTAAGTGCGACTGATCCAGCCTAGAAATGGCATTTGGAAATAGGGTTGTTCTAGGTTGGGTCTGCCAAGTCACACAATTGTACATATTGTTTTCTTATTTTTAATCCAGTGATGAACAAAGGGCCGCTCTGAATGAGGCAAAGTATAGCCTGTGGATCTGCAATTGAAGCCCATAGTGACTGAGAAGAAAACTCACCATTCAGTAGCAGAAAAATTACAGATTTTTTGTACATGCTCAGAACCTAAGTTATTAAAGGTTAAAGTTTTTCAAATTGCCAAGAACTTTAACCAGGACAATGTTAAGGATCTTTATAGACATTGCCACTATTTTCTTCTGAGTCTTTCCTTATTTTTCTTACTTTTTGGGTTGCTTCTCCATTACATTCCGCAAACATTAAGAACAACCACGCAAAGATTAAGCATTACCTCCTAAATAGTTAAAATTGAAGTCTGTTTTATCCAGTCTTTCTGCCTTCTGCGGTATCCTGTACTTGTCTGAGCCTATGCAGAAGGAAGTTGGGATTGTTTGGGTGGGGCACTGATACCATTATTGAAACCTGTGGGATTTAGAGCATATTTACCTGAGTAAAATAGGAGGCAGGATGGCTGTGTTTCTAAGTGTTGATGGACACTGTGGTATATTTATATTTTTCTTTCTCTTTTTGATTTAGCCTGAAAATAGGAGCTAATAGGATTCCTTAATCTCCTCTTCCTTTGTACTTTCTCCAGGATGACCTGGATCTGCCGACCTCATGCAGTAGCAAGGACTTTCCACTTTCAAAATCCCATAAGAGGACCCGTATGAACACTTGCTTCCAACAGGAAGAGACCCAACAGCGTACAGAGGAGGCCCTCAAAGAGTTATTTCGACATGTTCACAACATGCCTGACTCAGCAAAGAAGAAGAAGCTAATTCGACAGGTATCTGTCCTGAAGCAGAGGAACAGTAACCCTGATTTAGGGAAACAGTCATGGTTATGGGATTGACAGAATATTTTTGAGAATGGTAGAATCTGAATTGATTCTCAGTTTTCTAGGAGTGTGATTATTGAGGCTCTCAGTGACTCCCACTTTTGTTCAGCAAGGGTAAGTGAAAGTGTTTGTTGAGACCTGAAATCCAGGTGGAGGGTCCTCTTTGGCGAGTGTCAGGTATAGCATACCTCAGGATGAGCAGAGGCTGTTGTGGAGCAGTGAGGACACCAAAGAATAGTTCTGTGTGTTTGGAGCTCCATTGAGGCAGGCCTGCTGGTGCCAGCTGGTAGTCCCTGCTGCTGGGGGTACTGTGGCTGCACACACTTGAGTTTGGGAATTCTCAGAAGCCATTGGGAGAAAACCTCAATGTGGTGAAGCCCCCAGAAGAGGGGTGCCACCAGGCTGCTTAAAAAGGGGCAAACCAGCCCAGATTGGAAAAACGGAGCAGGGTAAAGCTTCTGTACCAGTCTGTAATGGGATTGGACCTATGAGTGATTGCTCGCTTCCATGTGTGGTGAGATAGGAAAATTCAGTCTAGAATAAACGAAACAACACAAAATGAAGCTAGATTGAGCTAATAAGCAAAGGAGAAGGATGAAACACAAAGGCCAGCTTCTTGGAGTGGATAAGACACTGAAACTGACCATATGGGGAAGGAAGTTAGCATACGCCCTTTATTTTGCCTCTTTTCTTCTGCCAAGAAGATTGACTTTTGGACTGGAAGAGAGAGAACAAAAATGACCATTAGGGGGTTGATACCCAAGGTTAGTAAAGATATTGTGAGACTGTCATTAATGGATTCTAGTCACTAGGCCCAGAGGGGCTATACACCTGGGTATTGAAAGACCTGGCACCTCTGATGGCTGAAATGCTGTCAGTGGTCTTTGAAAACTTGAGGGGAATGGGAGAGGTGTCACAAGACTGGAGAAAGACAACTATTATTTTAATTTCCAAACAAGAGAATGAAAGCAGTCCTCAAACCATAGATTATTGAGCCTGACTTCAATTTCTGGCACAATTCTAGAATACTTGTTAAAGAGATAGTTCATGAACCTCTGGAAAAGGGAGCAGTGATCACAAATAGTGATAGCATAGTTTACTTACCAAACTGGTCTCATTTTCCTTTTTTTGATTGGATCACTAGAGTGGCACATGAGGGGAATGCCGTCTGTACTTTAAGCAAAGCATGTGGAACTCATAATGTGCAATTTGATGGGAGTAAATGTAAAGTCTCATATTTGGGTTAACAACATCAGTTTCATCAGTACAAGATAAGGGAAGTGTGGTGACATAGTAGTTTATCAGAAGAAAAGGCCTTGGGATGGCCTGCAAGTTCCTTAGAAGTTAGGATTGCAACATGGCGATCTAAAAAGCTAATGCTATATTAGGCTGGGTAAGAGAGGAACAGTAGCCAGGGTTAGGGATTCCTCATTTATTTATCTGGTAAGTTGTATTGTTGCCTTTTATTTCCACATTGCAGTCATTTCTGGGCCATCCTTCCCCTACCTCATCTTTACCAGCCCGCATTACTCTCTTGTAACAAAGAAAAATCGTTAAGTAGAACCATTGGAGTTTGGGCTGAATGAAAAGGGGTGAGGCAGAAAATAATGTCTCATGACTTTTGTTATTTCAGTAGTTGGAAAGAAAACATTCCTGTTTAAGAAGAATTCTCCTGTCCTTGTTCCTAAAATTGATTTGAGATGTGACAGATTATGCCAAGGCAGCCGTCTGTTCAGTTTTGAATATTCAAAGAGAGGCTGATTTTAATCCTCAGCAGAGTAGGTTCATTTAGGCTTCCAGGAGGTCTGCACTGATGGTTAAAGATGTCAAGGAAGGAGAAAAACCAGCCTCTTGAACTAACCAGCACTCTTTGCTATGTGGGCATTGTGGCTAATAAAACTTCAGGGTTGATGAGACCTTAACGGCCATTTAGACCTTTTTTTTATAGAAGAGGAGACAAAGGCCCAGGGATTATTAAGTGTGACTATGTTTTCTTCCTTTGGATCAAAATATAACTTGCATCCCAGGAGTATTAGTATATTTTCTTATTACTTCTATTGTCTTTAGTAAAATTTTTATTGTTTCTATGATTTGTTCTTTGCCCTCATTATTTAGGATGTCATTTTTAGTACTTACTAAAATATGCATCTTTTATTTCCTTTAATAATTAAAATATTTATCCAATTATGGTCTTTAAATGAAGTGTATAAAACTTCTGCTTTTCTGTGTTTATAAGTTTTGTGCCTTAGTATGTGATCAATTTTCATATACAGTAATTGGCATAGAGGCTTTGTAATAGTTCGTACAACTATAGGAAGGGGATATATTTGTAATTGTTAAGGAGAGAATATTACAAAAGGCAAAATAAACTATTTTGCATAGACATAAGCTTTTGGCACAAAGAAAATAAATGTAGTTAGAAAAAGAAATGCAGCTATACACAAAGCTGTGTGTCAGAAAAGAAAAATCTTGGCATAAAACTTTTTTGATAAAAATCTAACATCTAAAACCTATAAGGAATCATTACAGATTTTTAAAGATTGAGCCATTCCCCAGTAGATAAGTGGTCAGAGGATGTGGAAAAATCTTAAAAGAAGAAACACAATTTATCAACAACTGTTAAAAAGAATTTAGAATTGCTAGTAGAGAACCCAAATTTAAATTTAAAATAACCTTTATATCACTTTACACTCATCAAATTGACAAAGATGGAAAAATCCATTGCTGACAGGGATGCAAAAAAATAGCCCTTGGTAAAAGCAGTGAAAGGGATGGACCATTTTGGAAAACAATTTGAAATTAAGCAAGGAAAGTTGGAAAAATTTTCATACGCTTTGATCCATTGATCTAATTATTGTACCCGTACCCCAAGCTGACCTACATGTGTGACAATATTCCTAGCAATACTACATTATAAGGAGCTGTGAATATGAGGAATTCAAAAAAATAAAAGAAGACTTGTACAAAGTGATGCACAGTGGACAAAGCAGAACCAAAAAGATGCATGATGATTACAATTATATAAATGACAATAAATTTGGAGGGCAAAACATCCTGATGGTAAACATTGGAGAATGCTGATGCTAACTTAAAAAGCATATGCTTTTGTTTTAACAACAGGAAAGTACCAGAGTAACAAGGGTAGCTGTGCTATCTGTCACAGTTACATACCCTGATGTCTTATTTAACTGTTTCCAGGGATTGTACATTGGGAGAGTCAATTAAAAGAACACCAGGGGTTTATGTATAGACATCATTTATGAATTAAAAGAAAAAATGTTTTTTGGAAGAGAAAAAGCTGGTTCCTTTGGGTAGGATTCTGCTATACCTTAATATTTCTCGCAATAGGGAATGACTTACAGTATTGAAATAACTCTCTTAGAGGAGTTTGCATTTGTGAAATACAGCTCTTCTGGAGCTAATGCCAATAGACAGTCATAAATCTTCAGTCTTGAAAAGATGAAGCCAAAGTAGTGGATTAGAGGTGGCAACCTAGCTAAACTCTCTCAACATTGCCCTCCAAACAACTTTAAAATAACATCTCACATCAAATTTTGGAGTGGCAGAGCCAACAAAAAGTTAAGATGAGACATTTTTCTGGCCTAAGAAAACCTAAGAAGTCCACAGGAAAGGTCTGGGGTGGAGGCCCATAAGCAGCTCACACACTGTGTGGCAGCAATAGCGACTGCAGTAACAGCAGCAGATTTGGGAGCTCTCAGTCCAGAGACAGGAGAGGGGTCAGACAACTGTTTAGAAAGGGAACCCATTGCTGGCACTGGGTACAGCTGGCGTGGCTTGGCAACTCTATTACTCATACACAGTTGTGGGTCACAATTCCAGGGTGGAGAAGAGTGCTTGTGGTTGGTCATGAGGGAACAGGGACTCTTTCTGGGTCAAGACCAGAGTGCAGACTACGAGAGCAATGACAGATCATATCACCTTGGAAATACCCAAAATGTGCAGACCCCCAGAGCTAGCTCTGGAAACAGCAGCATGAAAAAGCCTAAAGCTTGGGACAGTGTGTCCCCACCCCCAGGGAAGCAGAGCCCACCTTAAATGTAAAGTTCAAAGTCAAGGAATAGGCTGGAAAAATGAGCAAAGAACAAAAAGCAAACCTGACCACGAAAAGCTACTACAGTGGCAGAGAAAACCAAGACCATTTGGAACCAGCCCCAAAGGGCTATAAAACTCTGTGTGCCCTTTGACCCAGAAGTGCCACTCTTAGGTCTGTACCTCAAAGAGATCAAAGAAAAGGCAAAAGGACCTTTTTGTACAAAAATATTTATGGCACCTCTTTGTGTGATGGTAAAGAATGGGAAATCGAGGGGATACTCATCCATTGGAGAGTGGCTGGACAGGTTGTAGCATGATTGTGATGGAGTACTGTTGTACTATAAGACATGACAAGGGTGATAGTTTCAGAAAAACATGACAAGACCTCTGTGAACTGATGCAAAGTGAAGTGAGAACAGCCAGGGGATCATTGTGCACGGTAACAGCAATGTTGTAATGATGATCAACTATGAAAGACTGGGTTACTGTGATCAATGCAGCGAACCAAGACAGTTCCAAAGGACTCATGGTGAAAAATGCTGTCTACCTCCAGAGAGAGAATTGATGAACTGAGTACAAATTAAATTATGATTTTCTCACTTTAAAAAAAATGGCTAATAGGGAAATATGTTTTGCATGATTTCACATATATAATTGCTATCATGTTGCTTGCCTTCTCAGTGTTGGGGGAGGGGTGGAAGAGAGGGAGAAGATCTGGAATTCAAAATTTAAAAACCAAAGAATTCTAAAAATAATAATAAATTAGAAAGAGCCAGCCCTCTTCAGTCCCAGGGCCTTTCTGAGCTTCAGAAGTCCTTATTCTTTTCAATAATTTATATTAAGGTAAGGCATATGGTAGTGTAAATGAACTTTGGATACCACAAGAGCATTTTTTTGGTACGTATTTCTGCTTTTATGCATATATTCCTGGATGGTAGACTTGAAAGGCATACAATTTGGGAATCTTTTGGGCATTTGTATTTGGATACTTGGAGAGGCATCTGTTGCTGGGAAAATAATAATAAAATATCCTATTTATCCTCTCCAAGTTTAATAAGCAGCCAACAGCTCAAACTCCAGGAGCAGATGGATTTACTCCCCAGTTTCAGAAACGGACCCGTTCACGCTCCTTCAGTGGACTTATTAAGGTAGGTAGGTCCAACCACAGAGTTGTCAGTATTACCCTAGGAGTTTTTGGTGGATATAAACCTTGTGCTGATCCTTTAACTATCTGTGAAATAATTTTCTATTCTTTAGGTGTTCCTGCAAAAGGTGCATTTTTCTGGGTTGCTGGGATGAAGTTTGGGAAAACTTGTTATGATAGGCATTTTGATGTGTAATAACTATAAATTGGGAAGGGGGAATATCCTTGTAGGACTTTGGTGGTATCATTAAAGCAGTGAGGGTTGACACAGCCACAAACCACGGGTGGTTCTCAGTCTTGACAGGTGTCGGTGGCGTTTTCCACCAGCTTCCTTTGTGCCTGTGACTTTCTTGTTCAGTAATGGGAAATGTTTCTCTTTTCCTCTAACTTGCTCTTATGTTTTCACAAACTTGAAGTTTGTTAATCTGGGAGGAGGTTGTGACCAAGGGGCTTGTTGCATGTTAAATCCCTGTGGGAAGTTTTAGGATAGAGGTAGTAATAAAAATAAGGATAAGGAGGGATCAGGATTAGATCTATGATTTCACTGGCACAGAGAACTGCCCTCTACCAAAGCAGGCTGGCAGCTTCCCTGAAACAGTCTGAGAGACTTGCCTAAAGCCCGGAGAGACTGTGACTGTCCCAGCGTCACAGAGACAGTGTGTGTCAGAGGTGGGACTTTATCGGGGTCTTCCTGGTCCTGAGGTCAGCTCTCTGTCTACTCCTCTATTCTGTCCCTCATTAGAAACTGACAAATCTCTTAAAAAATAGTATATATTCCTGGCCCCAAATTTTGGAATGCTGATACACCTATATCAGTCATATTTTTTGTTCTTGTATTGTGGCATTATTGTCATTCCTTATTTGTCTGTAGGCATCTTTTTAGAGGTTTTTGTTTTCCCCCAATCACTCAAATAGCTGAATCTTAAATTAAGATGTGCTACCACCAGGTGGTGGTAGATGCATTGGTTTCACAGAATGTGAATTACCAGGCTTCAGAGAGACAGGATTAACTGGGAGAGAGATTCACATATTTTTCTACTTATTATCTTAAGGAGAAAAAAGCCTATTAAAACATACCTTATAGCAACACTTACAAAGTACTGTACTTCATTTAAAATGCAAATATTACTATAAAAGTTCTTTTGTACAAATTAGTGCCCTTCTCACTAGATTACAGCCTTTCCTGATCCCAACCCAATGTAATTGTAATCAGTAAGCTCATCTGATTAGAAGCATCTTCAAGCTTTGTTCTGGCAGGTGGCTCTGGGGATTGCTGATGTTTAACATCTCCAGCCCATCTCTTCCTCCAGCATTTACTGAACACCTATTCCACTCAGGCACTTGGGGTCAAAATTTTTCCGTTAGTGGCTAGGTCCTGTTGAGGCTTTTAGAATTAATTAAAAGAATGCTTGCTAGTTTCCTTATACGTTAGAAAAATTCACTCTTCTCTCTCTGTCCGTGTGTGTAACTGCAGGTGAGATGTGGAAACCAGTTAGAAGAGAGTGGTTTTCTGTAATGCTTAGGAAACCTGCCTTCTGGGGGGAGGGGTGGGGTGGGGTGGGGTGTGTGTGTGTGTGTGTATATATAACACCTCCTTCAGAGTGTAGCAACCTGTAGCTTTTACAAGTTGCCTTGTGAACAGACTTGCTCTTCAAAACCATTTCCTCAGCACTGATTTCCAAGAGTGTGTATCTTGATGAGAGCACAAGATTTAAAAAATGATCTTATCAAAGAAAGATTATCATGCATTCTAAGTAGAGTAAGACAGATTTCTGGCATGAGTCCTAATGAGGGAGTCCTTGGGTTGTGACAAATACTGACATACATGATAGTTGTAACAAGTTAAGAGGTTTTTTTTTACAATGGTCCAATGCCCACTTCCCCACTAGGATTTCCACAAGCATTTTGGAATTGACATATATAAGCTAGTTTAAATTGATCTTAAAGTTATTTTTGTCTTACCCCTCTGCCCTTTAGACCTTTCCCTCCATTTTTAAGTTCTTCAGATTAAGTGGTCACTTGAATATTGAAATGCTTCTCTTCATTTTTAGAGATTTGAACAATTCCTGACCTGGGTCCAAGGTTTTGTGCTAGGCTTCATGCAGAATTAGTTAGAAAGATAGGTTCTGTGCACCTGAGGAATATATCTTAATATTGTAGCTATGATGCCTTTTTTTTTCTTCTTCTAATGATGTTTTTTCTTCTTAAATTAGCGGAAAGTCCTGGGGAATCAGATAATAATGGAAAAGAAAAGTAGGTGTTGTACTCCAGAATCTGTGGATATTGGTGAAATGAACAGATCCAGCAAAGAAAATGTGAACTTAGTAAGAAACTGTTCTTGTCTTTTATGTTTATGGGAGATAACATAAAGATAAGTAGGGACGTCTCAATGTCTTTCTTGTTTTCCATTTCATTCTGCCAATGGTCCTTGTTTTCATTTTCCCCACATAGTCCCTTTTGCTGAATCTCTTCTCCTTGTGAGACTTTATTGTTTGCCTAGAACTACATGGCTCATGTCACTAATCATGTACTATATTTAAATATTTGTGTTTTGGTAGATTAGCAACTGAATATGTTAAAATTTTCATGGGACATAAACTAATTCTAGTAATACTTATGTAAATAAATAGAGCATTTGCTTTGATATCACAATCTCACTACAGGAGTGACACTAGAACACCAGAGTCATTATAAAAACTGTCTTGTGTTCCAGGTTTGTTCTGGATCTCCAGCACTGAAGGCGACACCAGCAAGGTTAAAATTGTCTGAAGGCAAGAAAGAAGGGAGAAAAGGTACCACATAGCTGGTTTGTCTTTTAGCCTCTGTTATTTTTTGTACGCATACACTTTTGCAGCTAGAAGATGGCATCCACTCCCTTAATAACTTTTTTTGAAAGAAGATGTGTATAGAATATTATGGAAGGCGTTATAGGAGAAGAAGAGAAGTAAGCATGGCATAGTGGACAGAATCTTGGGCTTGGAATCAGGACAACCTGGATTCAGATCCTGTCACTGATTTTTCCTAGCTTTGTGACCTCGGGCAAGTCAGGCAACTTCTCAGATCCTCCATTGGCTGATCTGTAAAATGGACATAATGATAACTGTAGTGCATGGCTCATAAGGTGGTTGTAAAACTTATATGAGATAATGAGTTCCAGTGCTTTGCAGACTTTAAATGTGCTATGCAGAAGTTATTTTGAAAGATATCTAAGCTCTTAGAATTTGTAAGGTAGTTGGGGAGATTTGACTTATTTGAAAGACTTAATACCTACAGAGTAATTCTTTTTAAAGAGAATGCTAGTGTAAATTGTCATAATGCAAGCCAAGTAGATAAGTGCTGAGGGAATGCACAGTAAAAGGAGTGATTACAGTCATCTGGGATGAATAAAATATCAAACATTTAACAAGTTTTTGGGAGCAGGCAGCAAATTCTATTTTGAGTTGTTACAACTGCTGTAACTGTAGTCATTGTGGCTTACTAATTAAGTAACAGCCAGCTTCCTTTTCCTTCTGAGGGACATTTGAATTGTCATAATGAAAATCCTCATTCAAGTTGCTTTTGGCCCAAAGGAATGATAGGTTGGGAATTCTGTTCCTCATAGGCTATACAACTTTGTAATAGGTGGTGGTTACCATACTTTACTCTAAGGAAGATTGCATGGAACTTGGTCATTATGTAGTTATAATGTAGTCTTGTCTCTAGATTGACAAAGTATCTTGGTTTGAAGGCCTGATTTTGCTAAAACTTGAGGGCAGTTGTTTGTGATGTTCCAGAGGAGGTGAACAAAATAATATTTTTCTAGGTGAAACTTTTCATCTTTTTAGAGAACTGAAATTCAGTTCAGTTCACAGTTTCATTATCTCAGAATAGCTCCTCTGCCATTGGGCATAGTTTGTCTTTATCCAGCTGGCTCTTGGGTGGCCAGTAGGGCCTTTAAGCCAGAGGAGTATGAGGAATGAAGAGAGGAATCTCCAGGTCCTCAGAATGAGTTTATATATCACATTTCTCACCTAAATTGGCATGTTATTTTACCATTATTCTTTTAAAATAAAATAAAATATTTACTGACAGGGTCTGTTTGCCTATATCCTTCATGCCTTCCTTCTTGTTAAAAGGAGAAGGTGTTCTTACTCAGGGCTGGCAGCCCCTCTGAGACCTTGATCCCTACTTTCTTGCCTCTGTATCACTTCAGTCTTTCTATCTCTTTTTATCATCTTCAGTCTTTCCTTTTCCACTGGCTTTTTTCCTCTCCTTTCAAACATGTAGGGATTCCCCCTTGTATAGAAGAATCTTCATTTGGCCTTTAACATTTCAAGTCACAATTCTTTGTTTTCTTTTCATTGCCAAAGTTTTTGGATGACTCAGTTTCTTCACTACCCACTCACCCTTAATTTCATCATGGTTTCTGCCATCATCTCTGCTGAAAGTCTTGTCTTGAAGGTCACCAGTATTCTCTGAATTTTCAAATCCAGGGCTGTTCTCTGAGGCCTTGTTCTTCTTGACTTCTTGGACACTTAAAGCCATGGCTCAACCCTTCCTTCTTCAGACTTTTCTCTTAGCTATACTTTTCTTGTTCTCCTTTCACAGTGACCAAAAATTCTCCTTTTCTTTTTAATGATAAGGCTTTATGATTTCTTTCAACCCCTGCTTAAAAGCGTACTCTAAAGTTTTGCCCTGGTCTTTCGGTTATTCTCTTTTTATATTTATTTTCCTTTAGAGATCTTCTCCAGTCCCGTAATTTTTGTTTTTGAGGGTTTATTTTGTAGCCTGTGACTTTGCTTGAACGTATTAATTATCTCAATTAGTATCTCTGCTGATTTCCTGGGATTTTCCAAGTAAACCATCATATCATCAGCAAATAGTGATATTTTTATGTCTTCTTTACCTGTCTTTACATCTTTAATTTCTTTCTCTTCTATTAATGCTTTTGTACCATTTCCAGAATTGTATCAAATAATAGTGGGGAAAGTGAGTATCCTTGTTTTACTCCTGTATTTAATTAGAAAAAGTTCTAGTGTATCCCCATTGCATGTGATACTTGCTTTTGGCTTTAGAAAGATACTTTTTATGATATTAAGAAAAGGGCCCTCTATGCCTTTAGTTTATAGTTTTTTGTTTTTTTAGCATAAATGAATCTTATTCTTTATCAAAGGCCTTTTCTGCATCTCTTGAGGTAACTGCATGGTTTTTAATATAATTAATTATGTTGATGGTTTTCTTAATGTTGAACCATTTTTGCATCTCTAGTGTACATTCAACTTGGTCAGAATGATTTCTTGAGTTTAATAAATGTTAGATTATTTTCTGGATTCAGAAAGTTCATTGGATTGTAGATTTAGAGCTGGGAGGGCCCTGAGAGGTCGGTGGGCCCACCCCCTTCATTTTATAGAGGAGGATCCTGAGAGAGCTGAGGCAGCCAGCCCTTATAAGGCCACTCAGGTAGGAAGGGTCAGAAGGATTTGAACTCAGGTCTTCAGACCCCAGAGTCAGTGCTTTTTTCGTCATATCAAATCACAGAACTGACTTCCATAGCTTTTGTTAATGTTCAGTGACTGACAAGTCAAATCGCTAGGACTGACTTCTCACCTGAGTTCTGCTGCCAGGTTTTCAGCTGTCAGCTGCACATCTGGTTTGGCTGGTCTCCTTTTATCTTGAATTCAGCATTTTTCCAAAGCTGCATTCTTTTCTTCTTCATCACCTTTTCTTTTTATATAAGTGGGACCATCTTTTCCCAGTCACTCACACTTAAAGTTTTGAAGTTATAGATAAAAACTCCGTCTTTAGTCAAAGGATGGATAATGGTTTCCTGCTTTAATTCCTTGCCTTCAGTTCTCATTACCAACATACTTGGACTATTGCATTAAGCTTACCTTCCCAATCTACCCCGTATATAACCATCAAATAAATTTTTGAAAATCTCACTTTAATCATGGCACTCCCCCAAGGGGAGAAAAGAAACCTGAAAACTTTTAATGTCACTTGATTACTTATAAAGTCTAAACTCTTTAGACTAGCATTCAAAGACTGCTACAGTCTTGCCCAGTCTAAATTTCCAGCCTTATCTTTCACTGTAATCCTACGTAAGCCCTTCACTCTAACCAAACTGGGCTATTCATCATCTTCTGAGTGCACCTTGTGTTTTCCCTGCTTTGCTCCGATTATTTCTCCTACCTGGAATGTCTTCCTTCCCATCATCACCCATAGGGAAGGGTGTGTGAGTGATGACTACAAGTGAGACACCCTTTTGTCTGTGGATACCTCATCCACCTTTCAGAATCCTCCTCAAATTCTGCCACTCATGAAGTTTTACCTAACTAGACCTACAGAATCTCGGAGGTCATTCTCGAGATAAAAGCAAGAGAGCACCTTCCCTCATAGAGGTTATATTTTGTTGTCATCTTGTCCAGCCTTTATCTGAATGGGAATCATCTTTACAATATTATTGACAAATGGTCATCCAGCCTCCAGATGAAAACCACCAGCAGTGGAGAGCTCAACGCTATGTGAATGGTATAGTTAAAAATTTTTTTTAAAAGAGAAAAGTAAAGAAGAGTCAGGAGAGATCTGGGTTCACATCCTGTCTTTGACACTCAACTAGTTGTGCAACTCTGGGCAAGTTGCTTAAAAGTCTTTTGAGTCTTAGTTTCTTTATATGAATGAGGTTAAATGTTAGTAGTAAACACCTCATGAGTTGCTGTGATGATCAAATAAAGTAATGTATTTAAAGCCCTTTGTAAACTTTAAGTGCAATATCAATGTCAGCTATTATCATAGGGTAACACGTTCTCCTTTTGGATGGTTTTAATTATTGGGAAGAGTTTACCTCTTTTGTGCCTAACTCTGCCACTGCAGCTTTCCCCCATTGTTTTGACTTTTCTGCATTCAATTAAAAAAAGTCTGATACATTTTCCAAAAGAGAGCTTTTCATTAATTAAAGATGGCAGTCATGTTCACTCTCAATCTTATCTAGTTTAAACATCCCTGTTTCATTCAGTTGATCTTCCTGTGGCATGGTTTTAATCTTTGTACCCTCATTGTTGCCCTTTTCTAGACACATTCTGATTTGTTGGTGCCCTTCCTAAAGTGTGGCAACCAGAAGTGGACCCAGTACTCTAACCAGGATAGAGTAGTCAAGTTGGACTGCTGCCTCCCTTCTTCTGGATGCTATTCTTCTGTTAACACAGCCTAAGACTCATTAGCTTTTTGGCTGCTCTGCCACACTGTTGACTTATTTTGAACTAATACCCCACTCTTATCCCTAAGCATTTTCCCTGTGTTGCCTAGCCATGCCTGCCATCCTCAGTTTCCTTATCTGTAAAATTCAGGTAGGGTACCAGATGATCTTTGCTCTAAAATTCAGTTATCATGCACTTATGCTTTTTGTTTTTTTTCAACCCAAATTTAGGACTTTAAATATTTGTAGTCAATGCCATCTTACTGGCCTCTCTCACTTCAGCCCATCCGGAAGGTCTTTCTGACATGTTAGTTCTCTCCAAATCTCCCCTTCTTGTCCATAAGGATATTTATTTCAGTGGATCTGGGATCTCATCAATGTGGATATTCCCTCGAGTAGGGTGGATTGAAGTCCCTCATTGCCTTCTGCTATGTACCGATCTTCCCAGAAATCTCTTGGGAGTCACCTTATTGAGCAGATATACCCAGAACTCATGATCTAGTCATTCTAGTCATATATAATATCTAACATGTCCATAATGAGTTTAATCCTATCAAATCTTTGTGTAACCTAAAAGGTTGAATGTACTTCTTTATCTTAATAGCTCTAGTTTAATTCATTTATTACCCACACACGGCATTTATCTCTAGATATGAGACAATTATTTCTGTTCTGCTTGTATGTTGTCATTTTGTAGTTTTCTAAAATACAAGGCAATATATGATATTGTTCCATGTGAAATACAGCTTATCTCCCCAATTAGATTGAAAGGCAAGGGCTTTGTCTTATTCTCTGTATGTCTCCTTCAGTATTTCAAGGATCTATGCTTTTGGTAGTGTAGATACTTCCTTCATCAGTTCAGACTATAGCCACTCTGACTTCTTAGCTATTTTCTGAGAATTGGTATGGTTAAAAAAAAAATCATTCTGTGGCCAGTCTGTGATGAGCTTTATCAAACTTAGTGAAGTTGGTCCTTGGACAGTACACACACTCTTATACTAAGAAGTCCTCCAGAAAATCATGTGCTCATGCAGAGGTGGCCCTGAGTTCTCGAAGGTTGGTCCAGGGGAACACATGGTCTGACTGGTTCTACCAGGCCCAGCATTAAACCAAGCCTTTGTTTGCTTGGCCAGGCTTCCAATAACTCAGGATCATGGCTGCATTAAAATGAGGCATGAGCAAATGCCTTTCTGGATGACTTCTTTGTTTAAGAGTGTATGGTATTAAATAAACTGTACTGGGTACTCAGTACCCAAGTCTTCCTCCAAGGGCCACTCATGGCACAGAGATGACTCTGGAGTTTTGGAAGCATGACTTTGGATAGCTTCTGCCAAGTTGGGAAAGCTTTGAAGATGGGCTTTGTGACATGTTTTAGGTTAAGAGAGGCTTATCACCATGTTGGTTACAAGTTGATGAACTTTTTGGCCACAGTTGCTCTTGAAATTGACTACCAAGTATGACAGAAGTTTTAATCTGTGTCAAGTGAGGGAGTTCATGCACTGGAAAACTGTCTTCTTGAAGGATTGAAGAGTGAATGTCTCCAGAGGGGGTGAGGGACTTACCCAAGAGCATGCAGACAGTGACCTTGATACGGATAGAATTTGAATCCAAGCTCCCTCTTCCCAAATCCAGCCTTCTGTGCTCTTTCTCCCACATTGGATTTCCTTTCCTATGGGACCTTGCCCTGTGACCTAACATGCTGAGATCAGAACAAATGTAGGTGGTGAGACTAAGTTGGAGAGAAAGAAGTCACTGGAGAAACTTTGCAAAGGTTTGCTGAAAGGGTCACTCAGAGGGAGAATCACAGGTGCATATTTCCTAACATTTACATATTTTTTTTTACACATTCATATGTTTAAACATATTGCATACTTGTTCAAGTTTATTAATTCTGTTATTCCTCTTTAAATCTAGGAATCCTGTAAAGGAAACCAGAATCCTCAGGCTTTCCAACCAGGAGCCTTCCATTTAGTGCAATCTAAATAGGAGTCAACATATCTAGTAAAGCATGGACTTGCAGCCTGCCTCCTGCAATTTGATTTTCAGAGCCAACTAATGCTATGACTTGACTGTTACCTCTAATTCTACTCACTGGATAATTATTTGGAAACTGTGCCTTATGAGAGAATGTTGTGAACTTGTGTATGTTTTCATTTTTTTTATTATTTCAGAATATGGGGAAACCACTATCTAATAAACAGCTTACACAATAGGTTGAATATTTTGAATAAAGTGGGCATGAGAGTTCATGCAATGTAGCAGCTCAGTAACTTCTTTTTTAATCCAGTATTTGTGTTCCTCTCTCAGTATCTGTCTTTTCAATATTGCCTCAAGCTTTCTTTGGCTACTGGCAGATTTATTTTTGTACTGATAGTTTTGGCTTTTCTTTGTTTTAATAGATTGTTTTCTGCTTGAAAATCCTTCGTTTCCAATTATAAAAGCCTCAATATATGAGGCTTTGAGCCATTTTTCAATGTCATTTGGCCTTCCACTTTTGTCTTCAGGAAGAATCCTCTTAGGTTTGGGGAAACTGTGTACTCTCTTGCTTTCATATCTCTTATTTCAGTGTTTGTATCTTCATCTGAGACTGTTCAGGAATCTCTTTTTGGAATATTTTCTTGGGATCCAGAGATTGGAATGTGTTTATCTGAATTAAAGCATGAAAAAACCAACAGTCTGCATAAACGCTGTAGTATTTAACAAATATTTTGGTTATTTTGTGTTTTACCATTTAAATTATCACATACTCTTTTTTCCCCCATTTTTCCTTTTCTTATCATTTACAATGACAAAACAGCGTGTTGTTGCCAACTTCTCGCCTCTTCAGTCAGTTGCCTCTTGTCTACACACATATCTCTGTTTCCTTTTTAGAACCTTTGCCCTTTATTGTTTCTGTGGCAAATATCTGGAAATCAGATCAGAAAAGTTGCTGACAACTCATAGGAGATCTGTTAAAATATATGTACCAATGGGCTGTATGTGGTAGAAGCTCTGTACTGTGAGTGGGATGGAGCCAGCTTGCCTGGTATTGAGAATTGGGAGAGTCATATGGGGAGGCAGAAGTACCCAAATTGTGTTTTCTCAGGGAGACCTATACAGTCAAGTTCTCCTGGCTTCTGAGAGCAAATTGAGGGTGTTGGGGTATCGCTCGGAATGATGGATTTGGTGAAATCTGTGGCTTATCTCCAATCCTGAAAGGAATGTTTGTTATCCTAATGTCATCACTCCTCATTAGGGTGAGTGTGCATGGTCATTCAAAGATGGTGCCAAAGACTTGAGTGGAGTGAGGTGGGTTGGTCAGTAGGAGGCTCGTATACATACAAAAACGTGTGTGTGTGTGTGTGTGTGTGTGTAGGAGCAGTCGTGGGCTATGTGTTGAACTTGCATAAATTATTAACAAAGCAAACATCTTTGTTAGAAACTTATGTCATGCTGCCTCTTTTGGTGTCAGCATAGCAGGGCTTGAGGTTTTCCTTAAACTAGTAAAAAATGCTGTTATCATTGAAATGAAAGTTTATCCTGATTGTCGGAGGATATGTGCATTGCATATGCAGCTTAAGTGCCAGCCCACCCTTCCACATTTCTGGTTTCTGGGTCTCAGTTTTGTTAGTGTAATTTTAGAAGTGAAGGCAAGTAAGAAACAGTAACTCCCTGTCTGATAGAGCGGAAGCTTGGTTTGAATGAGGTGAGGGATGCAGTAAAATAAGACAGTGAGGGGTTGTTCTCATCCAGAGAAAATTGAGGTTATTTAAAAAAACTTCTCATAATCAACCAAATTACATATTTGGTATCTAACATTTTTTCCCCATTTAAAAACAAATAACCATCCTCCTTAGCTACATATCAGTGAATCCAAAGGAGCCGGGTTATTTTTGCCACTTAATTAAAGGAGAATACGACTCCATGTTTGTTAGCTTTCTTTTTCTTCTTCTTCCTTTTAAACTTAATGTTTTCTTAAGCTAGAACAGAGAGAGCCTAGGCAGTTGGTCTAACATCAGGTTGGAAGGGGAAATGGACAGTCCAGCACCCTCTGGTCTACGAGGAGATTAGTTATTTATGGTGCTACCTTAGAGAAGTAATTGATATTATGGCATTAGTTGTTTGGGTGATGGTTATTACTGGAGAGCGTTCCCAGAGTAACGTAAGAGTAATAATGCCTAACCACTCCCTTGGCCAATGTAACTTGTGTGACTTGTGAGGCATTTCCTGTGTTATTAACTTATCGTTCTCATTGTCTTAAGGGTATCATGGGTCATTTTGCTCACAAAAGTTAAAAGTTCAGGTGTTATTTATAATTTGAGGGGTTAACTTCCTCCTGTGTGATACTAGACTGACCTAATAGTGGTGAAATCATATGCAAAAAGGGGCTTAGCCTTTTATCATTTGCTACGACTTGACATCTCCCATCAGGAGCTGAGAAGGTATGTACTATATTGGAGCCAAAGTCTGTATTTGACACACCTTTTTTTGGGAGGGGGAGATAATCTCTAAGTTATTAGGTTTATATGCTCTGCTATCTGTGTATTTCCTATGTTAAAATAGCTTTTTTGGACAGGCATCTTGCCATTTTACATATTTTATTTCTTTCTAGGGTTAGAATGTTTTTTTTCACGTGATGCCAATTCAAAGCGCTATATTTATATGAAATGTGGACCACTCTTATTCTTTGAGAGAGTGATGATACTGATGGGATAAATGGAGAACCACTGGCACCAGCATTTCTGACCTTTTTGATTCTATGTGGGCTGTTTCAGAAATACTGCAGCCGTGAAAGTAAGGAAGTACTTCTGCTGTGTGTGGCCCACACTGGGGAAGCAAGGGCCTAGTCTGACCTCTTGAAACTACCCTAGAGCAGACACCATGCAAGGGAAGGAATGCAGCTTTGACAGTGTTTTCCCTGGCTGAGAGTCAGTGTTCAAAGGAAAGCCCTGGGAACTCTGATTGTAACAGGACTGTGGTCATTGTCAGTCTTAGAGGTGAAGAGGCTCCTTCAGCCAGCCTGAGTTCACTGTGCCAGGTCATAGGATTGGTCTTAATTGTAAGGTCATTCTCTTCTCCTGCCAATACTGACCCTAAATAAATATTTCTACTTAATTTCTTTCAAAGGATTGGGATGCAATTGAAACTATGCTTTTCTGGTTGAGTTTGGGATCATTTTGAATTGTGCTATGGGGTGATTGGCAACATGTAATTGAGGAAATCATCTTTGAAGTGGACTCTTCTTTCTGCTTTTCACATTCTATGCCACATTGTTACATCCTATATCATTCCACTTGTCCTCAGGGTGGTCAGGGCAGGCTTCTGTGGAGCTGATTGCCTCAGTTGCAAGCATCCAGGTAGCTGCAAGTGCTGGGAAAAGTGAGATTAAGAATAACATAAACCCCAAGGAGGGAGCTTTTTCCCCTTTATTTCCTCAGAAGAAATGTCCTGGATTAGAGCCTGAATTGATACTACCATATTGTCCAGTGCTGGGAAGATTTTCTTTTCCCGAGTTTCAGAGCATATGAGAATCTTTCTAAGCCAGTGGTTTATTTGACTTTGCAATTAGTGTAATCTAAACAGCTTTATAAGAAATATCCAGCATTTCCCACCAGCTTAGATTGGCCTTTGAACAATATAGTGTTGATTGAAGGGCCAGTGAGTAGGTATAGCCCAGAATAGCCCAAGTGCCGAGTTGCCATAGAAACCGTGGTATGTGAGACTACAGCCAGCATGAACAGCCTTAGAGAACTAAAAAGAGTCACTGAATTCTGCCTCAAACCTGTTGGAAAGTAACATGGTACAGCCTGTGAGGCTCCTTCATACGCAGCAGGTGCTGCCCTTGCATGGTATTAGAGGTCCAGGAATAGACAGCTAAGGTTTCTGAGAAACAGACAAACAAAAAAACTGCTCTGTTTTTCTAAAAAAAATTTCATTCTACTATATATGTATAACTGTAAACAAGTATATGTAACATGGTCTCTGTAACTTCCTTTATTGTGTTTCTGTAATGTTCAAAGATTAAATTTTTTTGTTTGCTCTTTAAACACTTTGACCAGCTCTTTTATTACAACAGTTCATTTCTGCTGATTTGGTGAGGGGGGAAGGCATCTTGTTTTATATCACGTGGGGCCTCTGCCAGGAGGTAGAGGTGAATGCAGCACCTTAGCTCGCTTGTTTATAGGCTAGCAAGGTTCACTGGGAAATGGAGAATGGGAAAGAGCTAACCTGATCTTGGTAGGAGATAATGTTGATGCTTCAGTATGTTCCGAATTTTATTTTCCATTGGCTAGGACCTGACCTTGTATGTTCTTATAAGCACATTTACACTGGTCCCTTTTCATTCACAGTCTTTATCTCCACTATTTTTATAGACAATAAGAAACGCATTCATAGCAGCAAAGATAAAAGTCATTTTTACCAACAAAACTTGAAATTCAGGTTGTTGATGGCTCCATTTTTTTTTTCAGTTTGCATTATCCCGAGCCTAGAACTCAAAAGAACTCTTGCCAGTCTCCCCTTTATTGCTCACTCAGACCTTTATCTTCTCTCATCTCACTCCCTATAATGCTATGGGTAAGATCTCTATCCTGTTATCTAACCAGTCTATAGTGTCCCTTATTGAAGACCTGAAGATTTGGGGTTCTTATGTAAGTTGGCCTTTGGCCCTCTTGGAGAGCCTGCTGAAGAGGAATCATGGTGTCATGGATTTGGAATCCTCTCCAAACCTGAGTTTGGAATTCCAACCCAACTGTGTGAAAACAGGAAAGTTGCAAATTCTCTGTGCTGTGGGGTGATTGGCAACATGTAATTGAGGAAGTAATCTTTTGAGGTTAACATCTGCACATTTACCTCAAAGGGTTGGTGTGAGTTAAGTGTTTTGTAAACCGTGAAGTGCCTTATCAGTGTGAGATGTTAATAAAAAATACTTAAAGGAGAAATAAGATAATAGCAAAAATAGAGATGGGGCAGGGAAGAAAAGAGTAAAGTGCTGGACACAGATCTGATGGTCCATTAGTACCTGATGAATTAAAAGTCAAGTTTTTGTTGGAACAAAGAAATGAAAAGAGAAATGAAAAATGGGTGGAAAAAAGAGAGAAAAGTCTGAAGATAATAGAAGAGTAATCCAGGAGAAAAAAGATGCAGAAGAAGTTTTTGACAAAAATAGAACGCATATTAAAAACTAGAAAACCTAGTAGATAAGTGAGCCTTTTCAGAAAGATCAGGGTAAGCAAGAATGTTCGCAAACTATACCATAAATCAGTAAGCCTCAAAAGTATTTGGTGCCCATTAAACATTAGAAAAGTTGATCAGTGGAACAGATTAGGTGAACAAGTTCCAGTAGCCCAGTGTTTCGTAAAACTAAGTGACCTATTATTTAATATAGTCCTAGGAATGGCAGGAAGGCAAGAAAAATAAATTGAGGGAAGAGGCATAGACGAAGAGGAAAGAAAGGTATTGCTATTTGCAGATGGTACCTAAGGAAGCCTGGAGATTTCGCTGCAAGTTAAGTGAAACAAATAGCTTCAATGAAATAGCAGGATATAAAATAAATTCATAAAAACCATCAGCCTTTCTTTCTGTATGTTGCTGGCAAAAGCCAGCAGGAAGAGAAAAAGAAATCCCATCCAAAGTAACTCTAGAATGTATAAAATAGTAACTGATGTTTACATAGCACTTGAAGTTTGTAAAATGATATGCATCTCAGTTTAACTCATCTGATCCTCACAACTGTGAGGTAGTTGCCATTAACCCCATTTTACAGATGAGGAAGTGAAGGTTAAGAGGGTTAAGAGACTTGAGTTATACAACCAACAAGGATATGATTCAAGATTTGAACTCATGTCTTACTGACTCCAAGTCCCATGCAGTGTCCCTTGAACCAGATAGCTGCCTCTTAAGTTGTCTTAGAGTCTATCTAGCAAGACTTACTCAGGACCTATATCAATACAACTACAAAACACTTAAAGGAAATAAAAGAAGAAAAAAGAAAAAAATAATCAGAGATATATTAATTGCTCATGGTTGAACTGACAATGTAGTAGAAAACAGCAATATTGTTTGAATTACTTTACAGATTTAGTGCCATACCGTCGAGACTGTCAAGGGGCTATTTTATAGATGGAGACAAAATAATAACAAAATTCATCTGGTGAACAAAAGGTTCAGAATCTCAAGGGAAATAATGGGAAAAAAAGTGGGAAGGGAGGGAGCCTAGCAGTACCAGATTTCAAACTATACCGTAAATCAGTAAGCCTCAAAACTATTTGGTGCTGGTTAAACATTAGAAAAGTTGATCGACAAGTTCCAGTAGCCCATTGTTTGATAAAACCAAGTGACCTAGCTAAGTATACTTAATGTATACTGCTTTTACTGCAATAAAGATTCCCTATTTGACAAAAACTACTGGGAGAACTGGAAAGCAATCCAGCAGAAAATAGGTTATACCATGTACCAAAATAAAACTTCAAATGGATACATGACCTAAATTTTGTGAGGTCAAATCCTAAACTGTACCAGGGATTACCAAGTACAAACAAAAAGACTGGCCCTACCCTCAAGGAGCTTACATTCTAATAGGGGAAAACAGCATGTAAAGGGGAGCTGGAAAAGGTGGAGGGAGGAAGTAGCATGGTTTGTAGATGGCCACGGGAGGCCTAGTTCTCAGCCAAAATAAGGAAAAAGCTCACTTACCAGAGCCTGGCATCTCAGGGTGGAATCTGAAATTCCAGATGGGGGCAGCAAGATGGGTTTGAGTGGAATCAGTATGGTTGTGGAGATGGCTGGGAAGTGATGGAGAATAATTTTTGAGTTATCTGAATTTTATGGCTCTTAATATGCATTCTATTTAAAAAATGTCTAATGTAAGTGAAAACTCACCAGTTTACAAAGGCCTGCCTTTATTAAAGTTTG